GACTTTTAGGGGCCCTGGATGCCCCTCCTCAGGCGAGAGGCTGACCAGTAGGAGCCTCAAGCTCTTCGGGCACTTCCCCACCCCTCCAGGGAAGGGAACCCTAATGAATGTAATAGTGATGGGCTGGGGGAATGGCTTCCTAGGACTGGTCCAGAGGTTGCCAGGAAGAGATGCAGCAAGTAAGGTGTCCTGAGCCAGCCACCTCGCCATCAGGTTGCAGGCCTGGTTACATCCTGCCAATCGAGAAATAGTAAAGCCAGGAGTGGATAATCTAACCAGCAGAGGGTCAACCGGGTGGGTGCTCAGCCGTGATAATTCCTAGCACTGCTGGGAGGCCGAGGCTGGAGGATCGCTGAGCAGGTCGGACCGGAGGATCGCGTTGAGGGTCAGGAGTTGGAGACCTGCCAGAGGCAAGAGCGAGACACTGTTCTCATACTAAAAAAATAGAAAGAAATTAATTGGCCTAAACTTAAAAAATATAGAAAAAATTAGCTGGGCAGGTGGTGCGCCGCCTGTAGCCCAGCTACTACCGGAAGGCTGAGCAGGAGGATCACTTGAGCCCAGAAAGTCTTGAAGGTTGCTGTGAGCTAGGCGCTGATGCCATTGGACTCTAGCCTGGTGCAACCAGAGTGAGAACTCTGTCTCAGAAGAAAAAAGAAATATGGATCTGGTCCCAACTGGACCGTTATAACCAGTTATACCAATCTTGGCAGGCCCCTTTGGGCCTCGGTTTCCGTGCTTGGAATTAAATGATTCTTCAGGTCCTTTGTCTGAACTCCTCTTGGTCTCTGTCTTCCACGTATGCTCGCTTCGTTCTACCCATCTGACTAAACCGGATCGTGAGGTGGCGTAGGTGAACCAGTGGTCCAAGGAAGAAGGCAGGGACAAACCAGGGACTGAGGATAGCTAAACCAGTGTGAGCAGGGCCGAAGGTTGCAGCAGCAGGTGCTCAAAGGACACGGAGCCCAGTGAGACTGGGGGGATCTTGTTCTTCGGAGCGGCCGTGGGCTGTCGCAGTGCTGGGTGGGTGTGTGTTCTGAGCCACCTTGGATAGCCTGCATCTTTTGGTCCTACTCCACCACCCCTGTGGGGGCCCAGGCTCGGTGTGAAAGCTGCTTGGGAAAGAAGCTTGCAAGCGCGGCCCACCCCCACTCAGGCGCGGAGGGAAGCAGGGGCCAGTCACAGCAGGAGAGCGGAGAAGGAGCCATGAGTGGGTCCAGGGCTGCGCTTTCTATGGAGAGGTGGCTAGGAAGGTCCAGCTTTCTCTTCCACCGTGGGGGCTGCAGAAGCTAGGGGTCCAGGGGTGACCTTGAGCATCGGGGTCTACCATGGACCTCTGGGCAACCTGGGCCAATGGCAGGAGCTTCTCTGTCAGAGCGGGGCGTCAGCGATCACACTTGGCCCTGCCCCACCCCCTGCCCTCCTGGGTGTTGTGGCAGCTGAGGGCTGCTGCAAGGAAGGGCTGCCGCCCCCAGGGAGGACCCCGGAGGAGGACGCGGAAGGAGCAGGGCCCTGCCTGGTCTTCCCGCACCCGCACTCGCACCGCACCGCACCACGCAGCACGGGGGCGGGAGGCAGGCCAGAGAATTCCATACTGCCGATCCGCAAGCACAGCCCTGGGTTTCCTAGAGTGCTGATTGTTTCCTGTGCTCCCTGCCAGGCCCAAGGACAGGAAGTGATAGAAGGAAATGAGCGTGCACCGTGTGTGACTCCATGCATGGAGAAGGGCGAGCAGGCGTGCTGTGTGGGCCAGACGTGGTGCGGGCAGGGCTCGGGAGAGAAGCGGGGTCACACAGCTGTGCGGGCGGGGCACGCGTTATGAGAGGAGCTGACTCTGCGAGCCCGCGTGTGCGTGTCCATGAGAGAAACCGCGCCGTGCTGTGCTGCTGCACGCGTGTGTGGGTGACGCTCCCGTGCGAGCGTGGCCGCCGCCCTGGACGAGTCTGTGAAGGAAACCGGTGGCTGGACTGCGTGTGCGTGTGCGTGTGCGTGACGCTGGGTGCGGCGCGGATGCTCACTCTGCACGAGTGTGAGGGACACTGATGCGCGATGCTGTCTGAGCGTGCGTGTGGGAAGCAGAATGGGTGACGTTTTGTGTGGCGTAGGATGCTGGGGTGTGGCCGCCCTTGACGCTGTGTGCTGTGACCCAGTGTGTGACGCCGCAGGTCTGCCTTCGCGTGGCTGCGCTGACACCGCGTCTGAGCACACACATCGGTCCCCTCTGGCGGCAGCGCGGGTGACACCCGCAGGTCTGCCTTCGCGTGGCTGCGCTGACACCGCGTCTGAGCACACACATGCGGTCCCCTCTGCGGCAGCGTGGGTGACGCCGCAGGTCTGCCTTCGCGAGGCTGCGCTGACACCGCGTCTGAGCACACATGCGGTCCCCTCTGCGGCAGCACGGGTGACGCCGCAGGTCTGCCTTCGCATGGCTGCGCTGACACCGCGTCTGAGCACACACATGCGGTCCCTCTGCGGCAGCGCGGGTGACGCCGCAGGTCTGCTTCGCGAGGCTGCGCTGACACCGCGTCTGAGCACACATGCGGTCCCCTCTGGGCAGCACGGGTGACGCCAGGTCTGCCTTCGCGATGGCTGCGCTGACACCGCGTCTGAGCACACACATGCGGTCCCTCTGCGGCAGCGCGGGTGACGCCGCAGGTCTGCCTTCGCAGTGGCTGCGCTGACACCGCGTCTGAGCACACATGCGGTCCCCTCTGCGGCAGCGCGGGTGACGCCGCAGGTCTGCCTTCGCGTGGCTGCGCTGACACCGCGTCTGAGCACACATGCGGTCCCCTCTGCGGCAGCGCGGGTGACGCCGCAGGTCTGCCTTCGCGTGGCTGCGCTGACACCGCGTCTGAGCCACACATGCGGTCCCCTCTGCGGCAGCGCGGTGACGCCGCAGGTCTGCCTCCGCGTGGCTGCGCTTGACACCGCGTCTTGAGACACATGCGGTCCCTCTGCGGCAGCGCTAAAAAAAAAAAAAATCCTGAGAACAGTGCCTGGCACGTAGAAGCCTAAGTTTTGTGAAGTAAATTTTGAGGGCTAGTGTAACTGCCCGGAGGGGCCGAGAGACTTTGGTAAAGGGCTGCCCTCTCTGCCTCAGCACCCTCTTTGACCACAAGGGGGTTGGGCCGTCAGTGGTTTTCAAACAATAGCAGCTCAACCCTCCCTTCAACACAGTCTCGCCCAGCGTGTCGGTGCTGGCATGGGAGCCTGGAGCGACGGCCCGAGACCCCTGCTTGGGGTCTCTGAGGCCCCTGGGAGCACAGTGTCAGTGCCCGCGGGGAGAGAGGGCTCGCTGGATGGCCCAGCTCTAGGGGAAAGGTTCAGACAAGGTGTGCGTGCCTCTGGGCGTTGGGTGTTGGGCGAGGCCGAGTGCAGGCAGGAGCCCCGAGGGTGGTGGGAAGAGCCCGACCTGGGCCCTCAGGTACTCACGGTCATCCGCGTGGACAATCTGGAAGTTCTTCACTGAGGCCTGGGTGACCCGGCCCTGGAAGTTGAGGGTGTAGGAGCCACTGTCTTCGTTCCAGACAGGCGGCTTGTTGTGCAGTTCGATAAGGCTCTCCAGCGTCTTGTTCTGCCAGCGCACCAGCAGCCCGTCGCTGGCCTGGGGTGGCCGCGGGGGAGTAGACAGGGAGAGGACAGTTAGAGGCGGCCAAGACTGCTCAGGACTGACGGGAGAAGGGGCCCGGGCACCCGTGCAGGCCTTGCAGGCATGTGCAGGTGTGTGGCCTGGACATCGACATGCGTTCAGGGCATCCTTGAGAGCGCGCTTGGCGTCTGTGTGGTCCTTGTGGGCAGGGAACGCGTCTGTGAGAATGGCCCTGGCTGTGGGGTGCCGAAGCAGAGGGCTGGAAAGTGAAAGGGGCATCTGGCACACAGTGGGTGCTCCGTGCCCTTGGTACCCAACTGGTCTTAGGAGATGGCCATGTGCCAGCACCTGATTATAAGGAAGAAGCAGACAATTCAAGACCTAGGAGGAGAGGCCGGCATGGTGGCTCATGCCTGTAATCCTAGCATTCTTGGGGGCCAAGGTGGGAAGATCCGTTAAGCCCAGGAGTTCGAGACCAGCCTGAGCAACAGTGAGACCCTGTCTTTTTCTACTAAAAATAGAAATATTAGCAGGTGTAGTGGCATGCACCTGTAGTCCCAGCTACTCAGGAGGCTGAGGCAGGAGGATCCTTGAGCCCAGGAGCTGGAGGCTGCAGTGAGCTATGATGATGCCACAGCACTCTAGCCTGGGCGACACAGTAACACTCTGTTTCCAAAAAAAAAGAACTAGGAGGCCGGGCGAGGTGGCTCATGCCTGTAATCCTAACACTCTAGGAGGCCAAGGCGGGAGGATGGTTTGAGCTCAGGAGTTTGAGACCAGTCTGAGCAAGAGTGAGACCTCATCTCCACTAAAAATAGAAAGAAATTAACTGTGTGGTGGAGGTTAAGCGGAGAGCTGTCCTGGGACGGTGGCTCCTCAGAGCGTCAGTCCTGTGCTCGGGCCGTACACCGCGGGCGGGTGAGCCCAGGATTTCGGCCCCAGGAAGACTCGCATGCCCCATACTCGCAGGAGACTGATGTCACCGTACTCATTTACATGAAAATAATACCACCAGTCAGCTGATCACACAGC